TTAAATCTAAAAAATAATAAAATGCAAATGATCTACAAAGATCAACGAAACAAAAATTTCTGCAAAATTTAAACATGATTAAAATTTAATGCATTTCAAAAGTAGTACAGGAAATTTTAAATTATGAATTTATTCTAATGATACATAGAAGCTTATAGCAATAGCAATAGTAATAGCTGTAACAATAAATAGCTATATAAACTTCAGATTCAATTTATACGAGATGCATTACTAAAATTAGCCACAAATACATAGATCAATGAAGATCTGTACAACTAACTATACAAATTGAGTGAAAAACTGAATAATACAGAATAGATCATCAAATACGTATCGTATCAAAATCATATCTTCTCTAAAAATTGGTATTGATATAATACATACTATGTAAATAAATTTTATGAACAAGAAAAAAATATTTGAACGAAAGAAAATATTTTTTTGTTTATATATACCTGATCATACGATTTGTTCAATAATCACATGAACTTTACCATAAATGTTCATAACCCATGTAACATACAATAAATTACTTAAAAAGTAATCTCAAATTGCTTATTAATGATTACATAAAAAAAATGGCAGTCGTGATTTATGTGTCAGGATTTTTTTTGATCATTGATTTGCTAAAATTCTTGAATAAAAAAAGAGATAGCTCAAATAATCACTCTTATTTTTTACACTATACTATGATACCATCATCATCGATCACAATATAATAATACTATTTTATTAACGAAAATAATGAACTCACCGCCATCAATTAGTTCGTAGTATAATAACTAGTTGATATATTAAATTTTTTAAAAAGGAATTAATAGAGTAAAAAAAGGCAGGTTAAATCAGTACAGTATTAATAAATAAAATTAAAATTAACTTGTTGATATTTTAAATTGAAAATACTATGATATCGAAGTACAATTTAAATAAAATTCTAAAAGATGTAGATTTGTCAAAATTCATTTAGATTGATGATGTCGAATTGGAATTAAAATTTTTAAATTTGAGATAGGAACTGCTAATGATCAAATAACAAACGTGAAAATCTTCTTATATACAGTAAGTAATACATAAATTTTACCCAAAATAAATGTTTAATATACTTTTTAATCAGAGTTACTTCTTTAGTTTCCGATTCTACCTCAAATTCTAATTTTTCAATTTCTGATTCTTCATCAATTTCTGATCTTTTAGTCACTGATTCTTCTTTTATTTGCGCATTTTCATCAACCAATGAATCTGTTATGCCACAACTTTTGAATGACTTCATTATGATTTAATCAGCAATCTTATCCTATAATCATTTGACCCAACCACAAACATCACTTATTTTAGCATGCCAAAGGTTTCATTCACTACCACTGCTCACCATTCACAGATGCCACTCTTATGAAGGTAATCTTTAAATGGCTTATTAATTGCGATATCAAGGATACTTGTTAGTCCTTTGGGAATTACTGCTAAATAAACATTACTTTTGTGAATTTTATTTTTGAACGATACTTCTAAGTACCTTTTAAATGAATCATATACTAATATTGATAGGTCTCCAAATCTATTATCATTGAAGTAATCAATATATATCTTCATCAAATTAACATCTATCCATCCATTCTTTTGGAATCAAATAATCACACCGGAAGGAATTTTTTCTTTTTCTGCACGTGTTAATCTCTTTCCCTTGAATATGCAAATCGGAAGTAGTTTGGTCCTATATTATTAAATAAATTCAAATTTATTAGGGTTACTTTTATACATGATTCTGCATGTTCTCAAATTTAATCTGAATCTAAAATTTGCAATTTTGCAGAACCTACTAAAATCAGACAAGGTGATTTCAAAACTTACTAATGAGAATGACAGTAAACTGATTTTTTTTTATTGTCCGTTCCTCATATATATACCATTTTTTTACTATTTTGATTGATTGTAAAGTTACCAGTCATATCGAACTAAATGAGTGTCTCGTCTATATTAAAAATGTCGTACATTTTGAAATACTTTTCCATCTGAAGATTGATGACAAATTTATTAAAGTTCTCTAATAATTCATCAGTTTGGTTAGGGCGTTTCTGTACTATTTTTATGCGTTAACGCAAAACAATCCATATCTTTTCAAAAATAAACGCAACTAACTAAGAGATACTTTAAAATTGTCTATTGAATCATAAAGTGCTATAATACTTGGTCTTTTAAAATTTTTTTATTTATTTTGTATAGTTGCATAAGATAACAGTCCTTGCTTTCGCTGCTCAATAATCCAGTTATACAATACTTCTTCAAGCGTCAGGATATAGAGTTATTTGATTGGAATCAATTTGCTTTTTGTTTCAGTTGTCCAGTTCACTCTTGCTTTGACCCAATACTAATATCAAGATTAAAATGCTTTGCTACTACATTTTTACCATGTTGTTAGTGTAATTAACAACTTCACTTTTCAATTCAATATTATATGAAGTTTGTTTAAGCTTTCTTCACTTAACATTTGATCCTTGAGAAAATTAATTAGGTTTAATGTATCATCGCATGAGGAGATTATGATCATATTGTATAATCTTTGTATTATATAACAAATAAGATAATCATAAATTGAACAATACTGTAGATTTTGAATAAATATTTGTACCTAAAAATAAACAACCTTATAATAAAAAGGTTGCTTATTTTTGGTAAAATATGGTAATAAAAAAACTTTAAAACGATTATTATTTCTTCTCTTGGTTTAAGGGTTATGATTCAGGAATAGATTTTTGTTTATTAAGAAAATATTATCCTTTTTTATTTTTACACTTTTTAGAATATAATGTAATAATTTATAGCAATTTTTTTTTTTAGTAGTGAAATAATTAATTTAACTAAAATAATGTAGCAAATATACTGCGTTTATCATTTTTTTGCTAGCAATAAATAAAACTATAAAAAATATACTATAAAGATTAATTCAAAATTTTTACATTTGAGTATTGACAAAAATATTGAGCTTTAAATTGAACTTTTTAATTAATTAAAAGATATTATATACCAAGAATAAAATTTAAAAGAAATTTCGTTTAATACATTCCTTAAACCCGAATAAATGAAAAAATACTTGCGTGGCTATGTTTAAAGTAAAGAATTAGGCGTATTGCGGAGCAAAGAAGCTCAATTCAAAATTTTTGAACAATCTCAAATAACAGGTTGTCCATCATTGATATTACTATTATTTAATTTAATAAACTTTAGGAGCTAATTATTTTTGTTAATGTAAGAATCCTTTGTGAAAAAGTACTTACTTGCCTATGAAAATCACAATTAAATTCTGTGAGCATAGGAAATCACCATCATCAATAATATTAACTTCTTGATCATATTTTGGAAATGGACACAATAAATGTTCCGGCATCTCCAGTTCATGCTATATCGAATGTATGAATAGTGATTTAATTTACAAAATTATTTATAAATATATTGATTGTATAGAAAACGTAATATATGAACTGATTAAATATTTCCACATTTGATCTAACTATTTTCTGATAGAAATAAAAGAATGTCAAGTTATTATCTTCATTTTCTACCACCATTAAAATTGCAGCCACCAAAGCTACCGCTAAATTTACTGCTAAAATTACCGCTATCAAAGTTATTGCTAAAGCTGCCACCATCAAAGCTGCCACTGCTAATATTGCTATTTCCACCACCGCTACTGCCATTAAAGTTGCTGCTGCCTTATTCAACTCTTGAGTCCATCGATAATGTTAATAATTCCTCAGAAATTCTGTATACTTATACTAAGGAAAAACATGAATTAGTAGTCCAGAAGTTGCTTCATTGCAAAAAGATCGATCAACAAAGAAAAAATTAATACCTTATTTGTGTAAGTATCTTGTCGGATATTTTGCCAGCATTCCATGTCAAAATATTTATTCCAAATATATCTATGCGCATTGATCCATCAACTTCATCTTCATTACAATGACACTGAACAAAGATACGGATCAAAAATCCTTTACATGAGTCAACTCCAAAATGTTATAATATTATCAATAGATTAAATAATATCCATTTCAAAGAGGCAAAGACTATCATGAATAGATAAACATAATCAACAAATATTTTTTAATTACAAAGCCCTTGTGCATGAGTAATTATTTTGATTGAGACAGACAACAAACCTAACAGGAAAAGTAATTAAAAAAAATAATGATAAAAATTGATATAATTATATGAAGTCATGAAAGCAGCTGAATGACAAAATGTATCGATTATTGTACCTATGCAATCAGATATTCACTCGTAAAAATGAAAAAAAATTTTTGTATATGTTCTAAATATCTAAAATACATAAGGATCAGGATATTATGGACAATTTCGTATTGGAAAGATAATAAATGTAGAATCTATCTATGATTGCTCCAAACCGTTAGGCAAATTATTTTCTGATATTTGCTCAGAAAACCATGATACTATTTATGGTTTTTTGTTGATTGCTAAAAGATAATTGTAATTCATTTTTTAATGAAGGCTGTGAACATAAAGAAATTGATAAGATATAAAAATGAGATGCAACCGATGAATAAATGTCAAAAGGAAAATATAAAAGGGTATTATTTTAGTCATAACTTATTAGTGCGCTCATGATGAAATTAAAGATTTGAGCTTTGTATTTCTTACATAAACATATCTTTTATTTGGAAAATGTGTTTCGATAAAAGTATCATAATCAAAGCATCATCAAAGCGTTATAAATTTATTCATGAAAATATTCGTTCATAAGCATTTAACTTATCATGTGTCTGTTTTCTCTCAAGAGTTCATAAATTTTTATGAAGATTCTAAAATTGAAGAAATTGACGATTAATAAAATTTTATAAAAATTTTATATGTTAATAAAATTTATATTTATGGACGTTAGAATGCCATTCCAAAAAGGCTGATAGATAAGTCATGCTACAGGAGCAAATTGCTACGCAGCTACTTTCAATTCTCAGTAAGATGTTTCCATATGATAAAGAAAAAGAACTCAGAATTTTAGGTTAACTGTAGTCATTTGTTATT